GCTGTGCTGTTGAATTTTTTTTTTTTGGGGAGGGTTTAACTATCTTCTTCCCTACATTGTGAGAGATAGTACCACTGTACATCTGTGACGTGCGGAGAAGGGCTGAAGGCCTGCGCGATTGAAAGGGATGTTCCTGTGGGGCTGCGGAGGGCACACACCCAAACCAACAAACAAAGCTTTATTTAAAAGAAAGCACTACAGAAACAACCCCCTTCCCCCTCCTTCCTGGATCCGCCAGTGGTGACAGTCCCCGGATTGGTTTTAGTAGTAATTGAGATGAAATGTGTGAGAATTGAGCCCCACATAATGGTGCTGCTCGTCAATATTCACGTGAAAGCGGGATTTTTCCTTACATTAGGGGCACTTTGACTGATTGCAAGTTGCACTTAGTTGCATTCAGGTCGAATGTCTTGTTCTGTTCTGCCAACTTTGACAGTGTATAGTTATTGAGTTTGTTTCTCTGGGCAAATTTTGTTTCGAAGTGTGGGTAATTCTCCCTCATTTGGGTAAATCTTTGGCAGTTTTTTTGGGTAAAATTTTACAAAGCAAATTTGGGTAAATCTCGAATTTTGAGCAAAATGGAGCGTTTTTCAGGCGTTCATTACATCGTACCACGGATTGATGAAAATCTGATATTCGGGAAACGCGATAAAACAGGCATATTCGCCGCCAAGACCAAATCAGGTTGATCTTTCTCACATTCCGTTACCAAAGTTTTCAGGATTATCGCACAGGAGCTGAAGATGTCATCATCGAGATACGGAAGCTAGGCTGCCGCATTCCACCGGTTTTTTTCACTTTAACTTGGAATACTTGAAATTATGACCTCTAGCACGGACTTCTGGAGGAAGGAGAGAGATGGGGAGGGCAGGGGGAGGGGGGCGACGGAAAGTGGGGAAGAGGCTCTGCCTCTAACCCTGGAACTATGCAAAAACTAGGAATGGAGTTGTAACACTGCTGCTTAAAGTTACTTTAGTTTTATGAACAGACCCAGGCTTTTGCATCACCGGTGCCTGTACCGCTGGAGCGTGGGTCGTCTTTCCTCTCCCCCATTGTGCTTGTCGACATTTTTTCATTCATTTTCATTGTACAGTGTTTTTATGCGTTTTGTGCTGTGTAACAGCAGTACAAAACGCATATTGTTACGGGATTGTCTGTGTG